CCTTGTCTTTTTAATGGATATATTTAGAATTTTAAAATGAAATGGACACAGGGAGAAGGCACTGTTAATGGTAGAAACAAAACTCTAGATTCAACAGTTTGCTTCTGGGCAGCCTATTCATAATTAGAAGGATTTTGAGGAAGTTTCAATTAAGCAGCCATCATCTTCCTTTGTTTTTATTAATATGGGTCTTGGTGAATCATTGATCTGATTTGGTGTAAGTAAAACTTTGTACAACTCTCTTGTAACTGAGGTGCTAATTTGGTAGGAGAAATTAATGAGTAACCCCAAAATATTTGCCTGCAGCAGAATGGGGGAAGATTACTCCCAAGCAGCTCTGAATCGGATATGATTGACCTCTAATCACAGGCAGTACAAATAAGTGGCAAAATTGCACACCTTCAGGAGTGTTTACCTTCTGATTGTCTGTATGACTCATTAGTTTGAATATGCATTTTCTTCTATCAGGAAGCCTGCCTCAAAGTACAACTCTAAGCCAAACTTGCACCTTCTTCTAAATGCAAATGGCATCTGCAGGGAGAAGTGGCAATTATCTCCTGTGAACAGAGACCATGAGCAGAGGTGGAGAAACCCAAGTCTGAAACGGTTATATTTGTGATGGGAGCAAATTGCTCACTGGAGCCCAAAGATGCCATTTCCATTTAGTTCTTGAAGAACTCATGCTGTATCTGTAGAAGATTCATTTGCAATCCTTGACATATCCAGGTAATAGGAAGAAGGACTCTTGCTTCAGTCCTCAGAGATCCAATTCATGTTGTTAGATAGATAGGTTGATGGACAAATAAACATACTGTAAAGTGTTCCCTATGTTTATCCTACTGAAGCCAGTATTTTTTAAAAAACTACTTTCTAGACATCATTGTGTTCAATAGTCCCAAGTCATCTGGGAAGTGCCAGTTTGGATAAAACTGACTGAGGCAGAGACCCCATTTTTACAGCTTTGGCATTTGTAATAAGACCATGAGCAATACAAGACAGAAATATTTTTCCCCCAAATACTAATTGTTATACCACTTCCGAACTGAAAACTTCTGTGTATAGCACTCATGACGAATAGCACTCGGCAGATCAATTTTTTATGCAATTGCTTAATCTCCTTGTAAGCTAATGATCACCATCACATTCTGTTTTTTTTTTTTAATTCCCCAAATTTCATTATCCTCTAATAAGTATTACAATGATTTTGCTGCCCCAACTTGATAGAAGGCTGCTGCTGGTTTTCCTCGGTTTCTGCAGGCATTACTGTATTTCCATGTTTGTTCATTTTGTGCATCAGTTTGGCAATGATATTGTGGTCAACTTTGTTTTTGCCTTCAGTAAATGGTTGTGAACTAATTGGTCCTTGAATACTTTTTCAGCCGACAACTTTTTGATTCCTTTTTGTTGGTCTCGTTGCAGGAAGCAATCTCGTGCTTCCCTGAGAAAGAGCAGTTGGCCCAGATTCAAAATGTTATCCAGGAACTTCCACCGTCACATTATAGGTAAAGGAGAAATCTTAGTAGTTATTGTGGGTTGCAGGCAGGTAACATCAGAAAAATTTCCTTTATATTGAGATTGCTGAATATTTTCCTTTCTTTGCTCTTAATTATTTAAATGACTGAATAGTCCACTATTTAACCAAATAGTGCTCAACCACATGGCTTATACAAAATATGATCTATTTTCTTAATATACTGTATTTTAGTTACATTTGTAATGTATTAATGAAAGAGACAGGAACTTGCATTAGGCAAACTGTTGGTTTAGTCAGTCAGGACTAAACAACACTGTTCCCCACCTACCCACACCATCTTTTTTCCAGCAATGTTCTTCCACGTAGGAAGTGCTTACCTTTTGTTTCATGGTTACTTATCTATTACTGATGTCTATCAGGTCTCCATCACATCTTTTTCAAATTCCAGGAAGCCTTTATTGTCAATTAAAATATTTTCAATCATAAAACATTCTTTGTTTTGAGTCTTTGCTGTATAAACACCATTGTAGATAGCAGCACAATCAGCTGGCTCCTCAATCACTTGTGGCTTCAAGATAGTTCAAGATGAGGTTCTGCATAGCTCAGGATAGATCAGTTTTGTGTCTTCGGTTTCAGATGTTTAGTCAGAGGAACACTGGGTTTGTGAGATCCCATGGCCTCCAATAAGAGGTAAATGAGAGTAAGAAGAAGAAAACAAAGATTGCAGGAGGGGGAAAAAAGTGGGAAAAAGTTGCCAATGCATTAGTAGCTGAAGTTGCAGACCAGAATGAGGAACTTGAGGTCCTCATGGCCCAAACTTTGCTGCAGCCCCCAGACCCACTGGGAATGGCTATCAAATTTGTAATTTTTAATGTGGCAGAAGGTGGGAAATATAACTATGGGGAATGATCACATTAGCTGCATTTAATTTCATGTAACAGCAATTTATTAATTTAGTTTTTAATAAAAAAATAATGTAGTTTCTGTCCTCAAACACCTTTATTTTGGCATCTTCAAGTTTTTGGATAGAACATGGATCCTAGCAAGCCACTCAAAGGCCAGTGTGACCAAGATAATATCTATGTTTATTGGTGACTGGAAACCCCATTTGGACTTATGGCATAAAAAAGAAAAAGGTGAACTTATGATTTATGGTTTTGATAATGAGATAGAATAGATTGTAGAAAGAAGAGAGTCACAATGTAACTATAGAAAAAGAGATAATTTATAATTGTACTTATAACTGCTATAAAGAAGATCGGAAGCCACTTCTTTTTATCTTTTTTCTTTCTTTTCTATTTTTCTGCTACTCTTTTTCTTTTTGCCTCTTCCTTCCTTCCTTCCTTCCTTCCTTCCTTCCTTCCTTCCTTCCTTCCTTCCTTCCTTCCTTCCTTCCTTCC